TAACCTTCACAGGAGGTCAGGCTAGACGAAGGGTTTCAAACTCTCTTACCTTAACCGCTAATATTCAGCGGGAAGGGACACTTCACTGGATGTCCAGTCTCATCTGACAAAGGGCTTTATGTAGTTTCTACATTGAGCAAGGCAAAATTTCACACATCTGATAATCAAGCCTCTCAGCACACTATTTACCCCCATCTTCCTCAGTATGACAGCAATCCGACGACCTGTAACAGATTTCGTCCTGCTCAAGTTCCAGAAACGATCCTGCTGGATCCACTGCCACTAGAGGTACGGCTGATACAGAATCAAAAGCCTGAGACAAGCGATATCTAACAAGTATTAAACCTCTGTGACCTACGTACCAGAAAGACTTCAAAACTTCACCGACCAAAAAAGCCTTAGAAATTACAGCCACAAAATGACAAAAAAAAAATAAAAAAAATCTATATAACTCATCCTTCATGATAATGAAGGACAACACAATACAATTTTACATTAGCACAGTTTATAATTAGAACTTGTGAATTACAACCCAATTTCTGTATTCACTATTTTTTCCCTAGCTCCTTTTAAAGTAATAGTAGCAATACCAAAAAAACCCAGTTTTGGATATCTTGTTCTAAGCCATGGAGATTCGCTTGTATCATTTCCTCTGTTACTAAAGATCTTTAAGAAATTATTCCTTTCCATTTCACCACAGCCTCTTAGTACCTACGTGCAAAGAAAGAATATGGCACAAAAGCTTTAATCAGGACAAACCAACCTCAGGTCGATATATAAAAATATTTTCTATGTGTATCTACTAAAATGCATTATTATTTAAAATATATCACCTGCTACCGACATCACTAAGCAGCTACTAAAATGCTAATCTTGTTGCTTCTTCTCCTTTCAACATTTAAGGACATTATTAACCAACCTACTGTAAATCCTGAAAACCAAGCGTAGTCCACTACAAGAAGCTGCTCTCTACGTTTACAGAATATTCTTCCTACAGAGTGTCAACCAAGTCATTGTGGAGTGTACCACTTACCTTCAGAAAATTATTAGCCAGTTATTCCTGTATCTGCAGCAAAACCATGCTGAAGACAGGTAATTCAGGATGCACATTTGGAAAAAGGAGAAAGGATCTTAAGGTTTCTGGTTCCTATTTTGTCAACTACAGTTTATGACGGAAATTGAACTTTCGTGCTCTTCAGCTTTAGACAATGAGATACATACTTAGAATAAATACACATTTTAAATGACCACACATCAAGTGCTAAGGCAGCATGAGTACTTGTGAAATTCATCATGTCAACAAAGATGTTGCAGTTCTGTATTTCTAACTTTTCCAACCAAAGGCTTAAACAACAGATTCAGCTTACCACCTACAATCTGTGGCTGCATTTTTAGAAGATGATTTCACTCAGTGCTCTTCTTACCAGCAGCAGGTGTCAGTTTGTTTGCTCTGGGCTTCCTCTGAAATAATAATATTATTTTAAAAGTTTGCTTTGAAAAAAGGCACATCATCCAACCTGCTACTCCCCAGAAACTTAAAAGCGATGAGAGAATGCACAACCAATTTCTCCTGCCAACCACTGAATAATTAAGCTCTTTGTAACACAGAAGTTCACATTCTGGGAGCAGAAAAGCTTTCAAAATTGATTTTTTTTTTTTTTTTTAAAGATGCTTTATCTTTCCTTTTAAAAGGCATAACTTAAAAAATAAATACATGCGTACTTGTCAACAACTCCTCTCTCTCTCTCACTTTTCAACATATGTACACATGGGCCTTCATTAAACAGATCCCGCTTAAACAATATGCTTATCACGTCACACTAACCTGAAAGAAGAGGGTTAATGACCAAAAGAATTTTCAAACCAACCTGAATGACTATGGCCTATTATGTATCATAATAAGCATGTGAGTAGTTCTGCAACATGTCTTTACAGCTATGTAAACAGAAACGCGTTTGCAGGGTTGGACCGCAGAGAGAACATGTTAACTGATGAAACCAGATGTAGTAACACCACAGACAGGTCCTAACACCGATGGAACCACAGTCTGCGACATGAATCTCGACAGCATTCAGCACCCTTTGGCTCTGCCACCACGTAAAACAAATGGGAGAAATCAGAGCAGCAGTGACAGGTTTTTGCAAACTGCGTCCTGTTCTTGTCTGATACAAATTATTAGCACTACATATAGTCGTGATTCTAAAACTAATAAGAGCCTCCTGGCTCCATTTCAACCTTTAGTCCTCAGCAGTCCAATTTCACAGATTCAAGTACACTACACATTTAATCTTGAAAAACCTACCATAGATTAGAAAAGTGTATTTTTCAATAAGAGCTAGCAGCGTAGCACAAGGCATGAGACTTAAAAATATCAAAATATTAAAATAAAAAAATTTTGTGTATTAGGAAAAAAGCTGGAATTACATACACAAATTTACAGTACTTTGGGCTTTCCGTTAATGAAACAAATTATTTTTCACATAAGAAACATTAACAGCTCTCAAGTAGGACAAAGTCCCAAGGCAATTATATAATTAGTCATTTTTAGACCGAGTATTATGTTACACAGTATTGGAAATGAACAATGATAGTCTCCTGAGCAAGTGGGTATTTAGGTACATATTACAGGTATTTTATACTGTCCTAGATAGCCTAGCTTGGATCAAGCCAATTACTCAAAATAACTAACTAGTCCTCTACGATCTGTTCTCTGCCTGCTCCTTTCCAAAAGGAGCTTCTGCAGCACCGTGAGGTGAGGCTCAGTGATTATGGCTGCGAAAGAAATGCTTCACCCGAACCATCAAGCCTCTACTCCTCTATGGCAGGGAAGACCATGGAGGAGTCCTTGACTACCAAAACCGCATACCATTCCCACTCTTCTCTCCAACTGACATTTAATTACCTGCCAAGTGGCTTTAAATTTATTTTTACTCCCTTTTAATAATTTATTTTCCCCCCCATGGAGAAAGCTAGTAATACTTTGAAATTAAGAGTGCTAAGTTAAGAATATTTTTACAGACATCACGTTAATTTATCTCTCTGCATGTACTAAACTGATAACACAGTAACTAGGCTGTGGAAAGCAAAGGATGTTTACAGCACTTCAACTGATTAACTAGCTTTCACATGATCAACAGAACACAAAAATGTGAAATCGGTGTTGATTTATGATTGCAAAAATAAAATTCTACACACACAAGTAATATAAACATTCTTTGATCACAGAGCAGTTGCTTAAGACAGAATTAAATGATCAACACACATTCACTGAAGTAATCAATTTTACAAGCAGTAAGTGTTGTATGCATCTGTTCAGACTAAATGTAAATCAGCCACATGGGTATGAGCTTCAGCCAAGAAAACAAGTTACGACGACTCTCTCCCCTCTCACTATTTCCTAACCTTGTTTATAAATGGCTTGTCTGAAGTTATTTGAGTTTCCACATCTAAAAGTTACACTACCATTTATTTCTTAAAGCCTTCAAAAGGCAGGGAAGCAGGTAGAGACACTGAAGGAAGGAGGAAGAAATATTCTTCAGAATCAAGTTCTTAAACAGCACCAGTAAGGCCACAGTCATGGTTTAAGCACTATTTAATGCTTGTCGCTCCCACAAATCCAGCTTCCTTACCAGGGTGGGGCAAGAGAGAGTAATTGACAGATGTTATCTATTTCTCAAAGAACACTGTCATACCTCAGACAGATCTGCCACAGTCATCCTTGATCAAAGGAAAGAAAACCAGTATTTTCCTCTATTAATTTCTTTGCTTTTTTACTGCAGCTGTCTTATAACTTCCGAAACTATATAAAATTTGACTAAGCACAAAAAAATTCTAAAGGAAGAGCAACTTTTAAGAAGTACGCAGCAGAAGCTAACTACAATTTAAATGAATACGAATGGCAATTTGAATATTTTACACCCATAAATGTGAACCAAAGAATTCAGAGAAGTGACAAAGTAAAAAGAAGAAAAACGCTCAGGAAGTACAAAGTAAATCTGTAGAACATGACTTCCTATAAACACAGTAAAGTCCAGATCATCATTCCCAGTTTGTACGTATGTTGGATTAGTATTTACACACTTGCTCGGAAAATAATGCAAAAAGCTCATTCAGGGTCATCTCCAAGGAATTCGAGTATTGTTGTAAATACTACTAGAACACAGTAACAGCAGCCACGGTCTCCTTGCCTGTTGGCCTGCAGAACACCTTCCCCACCCATCCTAAGATACATCCCAGCATACAGCTTTCAAGTTATTGACTAGAATAATCCTATAGTTCTCTTGTACTTGTGTCAGCACAAGGAGAAGACAGATTACCGAAAGATACATCAGACATCCTTTAATTAAGAGTAACCAAATTTTAATCTAGTTGTCCAACAAGCCTAGGCTGTGCTAATAAACACGTACATCAACCACCACATCAAAAGGAATTTGTAGCAAGATGAAAGAGATACCATCCTTGTGTATGCGGCACTGCAAAAGCATCGCCACCCCCACCTCTCCATGCAGGTTCACTGGGTAATAAACCCCCTGGGGAGGAAGCAGCTTGCAGGCGCGCTGCACAGCCCTGGTCAACGCGCCATCTCTAGGACAGCTCTGTCCCGAGGTATCCTCTGGGATACCCGTCGAGTGAATTCCCAGTTCCGTATCTTGTATCACGTGTAATAGTAAAGCACGATCAGAATTAGCAAAACCACAAAAGACAACTTCACTTCAAAACGGAATGACAACTTCTGCAGCTTATTCTGGATTTTACGTACTTTATTGCAAGTGCATGACAAGTACCCATTTTGGCCAGAACTTGCAGTTTTATGCTTGTCGTCTTCTTAACATTTAAATGTGCATCTGGGTCAATGTTTCAGAATACTCAGGAGCAGATACCTTCCTTGAACATATGGCATGAAAGGATGCAGCAGATACAACCATCTTACTTTAGTCTCTGTTTTTCTTAAAGTGCTGATGAACCCTGATCTCCCACGGCTGGGTGTCTTCACAAGGACTTCAGTATCCCTTCCTTCCTCTGAATCTTGTCCTGGCATCCAACTGAAAATTGAAGTCAATATATTAAAACCACACATTTTGCAAAATAAAAACTTTAGAGTGCTTGTGCTATCTTGGCACTTTGTAACACCACAAGAAAGCACAGAATAAAGCGGAAATCACTGTAAAAATAAATTAGTGATGTAGCCAACAAGTCACAGGGTTCTTCCAAAGAAACAGACACTGTATTATCTTAAAGCTTACAGAAAATTAAAATTACGTGATAAGCATCCTGTGCATCTGAAATAAACAGGGTAACAATACAAATGACAGAACACCATAGTGGGATGGCAAGCAATACATGAAAACATGGTACTGTAAATCTGCTTAGATCTGTTTTTCCAAACTTAACTGACAAGCTGAAGGAGAAAAATACACATTGGGTTGAAGTGGGAGTCACTGCAAATGTTACTGAGGACAGGGATTACTTAAATACAACAAGAGTCTGGAAAAAAAGTCAGTAAAAACATAATATTCAGCTTGTAAAATCTTCAAGTTTCTTCTTGGCAGTTACAAAAAAGCATTTAATGGAAGGCTAAACATGGCAGTAAAGCTAAAACAGTAGCTTCAGCGCAGCACCTACTGAAGCTAAATTGCAAGTTCTTTCTCAGTGCAGCAGCAAAACATACTTTGATCTTTGGAGAGTTCTTCTGAATTTAGATAGTCAGTCTTGAAAATGGCAGCTATGGATTGCAGTTCAGCCATATTCAGGTATTAGACTGAGGATGCACCTTTTACCTCCATTAACTAAACCTCTTTCAGGATTCAGAACTGCAGAAAAATTTGTAAAGAGCTAAACTGCAAGACGGCACAGTCTATCCAATAACCAAGCAGCTTCCTCTTCAAACCTTGTTCCTTCTTTAATATCTGAAGTGTGCTAAGGTTTATTCCTCTGCTATGAGATTCTATTTCCTTACAAAGAAAATCGCATCTAGGTAAAACTCTTAATAATTTTAGCGTACTGTAAACTCTATCTGTATTTAATTTCTAGCTTCTTTTTAAATAGTCTTTAAGCCTCACTATTACACCAACTAACAAATCTGGCAGAGCACGATTATTAAAACTTCTGGAGTTAACAGGACAAGGAAAAATGTAATTCTTCGGCCTCAGAATTTGGAGCAGTTAAACAGAATCATACAAGTGCCACGCCTCTTCCCGCATGAAACTTAGATTCATCAGGCTCCCTCAACGATCTAAAGACACAAATACAGGCCCATCATCTGGAAATACACATATATATTGCTACTGCAGCATCAAAGAGGTATTTCAAGCCTGAAATACACAACATTTTTTTCCATCCACATAAACAATAATTTGCCACTTTATGGATTAATACAGTTTGCATAGGAGAGATACAAAAAGCTGCTAAGACTTAAGCAAAAATACAGAACGGAAGAAGAATTTTAGGTGTAGGTTTCAACTGTATATTCTTCACAATGTACCACATCAGCTAAAATAAAAAAATTAACACTGCACTACCCATGCTTAGAAAGTTTTGATACCATCTTTGTCACATCTTAACCACTTTTTAAGTGCTATGGAAACACAAGCAAGATGTTTCTAGACAAGGAACTCCTATGAAAATTGGGGAAACTTTATCTAACAACATTTTTTACAACTGGTTTCTCACTGCCACACTTCATAGCTCACTATATAAAAAACCCCAAACCTGTTCTTTATCATGAATTCCACTCCTCCAAGAAAACTGACGAATGCAAGAGCCTGTGTCAATAGTGGAAGTCCCTTTCAGTAGGACGCCCTTTTCACTTAAATGTGCTTTGTTCACAGACAGAAATCAGCTGGTCGATATCCTACAGCTACCTCATCTACTAACACCGTTTAAACCAAAGCCGTACTAAAAAAAAGGAAAAGTACCTACCTCATTTACGTGTCACACGCTAAACCTAATTCTATTTAAATATGCTTTTTTTCCATCTTGTTCACACTCTATGACTTCTTCCTCACTAGAGCAGTGCCCAACACGCAAATTATAAACGGAACCCAAAGGCAAGGCCTGTCCTGCTTAACGACACCGGTTTTACTGCATCAAAGCGGCTTCCTTGAGCGAAGGGGCAAGGGGACAGGAGGCGCCCGGCCGCCAGCAGAGAACACGCCACGAGCACTCACCATCGACCTTTTGCAGGCGAAAAACGTCATTTGCAAACTCCGGCAATGCCCTTCCCGCAAGCACTGCTTCGGGCTTTTGTGTTCCTGCCGGAGGAGAACGCAAAGCATTAAACACGGAAGGGGCTCCCGCAGCCTGTCAGCGAGATCCCGGAACGCTTCGGCCCGGGTTTACTCGGGATTTTGCTACGGCGCGGCGCCTTGTCCTGCTGCTGACGTTGTAACTTCGTCACCTGCTTCCAACCCGCACTGGCAGG